TACATAGGAAGGCGAAGCTGGGATTCGAAGCCAGGTGGTTTAGTAGGTAATGGGTAACAGGGGCCAATGTGATTAGAACTGAGATTTAGAGTGACAATTGGCTGCATAATGACAAAGAAGACACTGGTGATGGGAAACCTACTGAAACAGTGTAGACAAGAGTTAGGTAACAAGAGATCTGCCCAGTGGAAGAGGGGAGATGTTGCAAGAATCCCCAGAACTTTTTTGAGATCGAATCACACAGGGCTGAGACACTCCTCAGTCTCTCATCATTTCAGCAAGATGGCAGAGGCTTTGCATAGCCACTTTTGCAAACCTTTTCTTTTTGGAATTCTGAGTACTTGAGTGCTGTCACCATCACTTGTGGTTTATCTGGCAAAAAGAGGGGCAGTAAGTGATTAGGAACAAAGGTGTTGAAGTCAGACTTCCTAAATTCAAATCCTGACATACAGCTTGCTGCCTGAATGATCTTGGGTTAGTTTATTTAATGTCTTTGTGCCTCAGTTTTCTTATCTGTAAAATGGAGAGATCGTATCAGCATCTTCATAAAACCGATATGAGAATTAAATGAAATAACATATGGGAAAGGATTAGAGCCACTTCTGTACAAGAATACTCATTAAATATTTGACTAATATTGCTACTATTTTTCATTATTTATTTACTCATTCATTCATTGATTCATTCATTCATTTTCTAGGCCTCGTGAAACTTCAGCATGTCTCCAGCTAACTCTACAAGCCACCAGCCTACTTGTTCACCACTGAGAGAAGTTCCTGTATCAGGTGTCTGTCTTCTGAGGAGCATGAAAATGGACAGTGATCAAGGAGAAATTCCTCTTCAGATCAGTTTTTTGCTCCTGTCACATCTAAGGAGTATGAAGTAGGCTGGTAATTCAGTTCTAGAAGGAAACTGGAGTATTAAAGAAGCAACCTGTTGTTGCAGTCACATCAAACTTGGCTCTTCCGGTGGCAGTGAGAAGCTTCAGCATGGGTAGGATTTCCTCCTCACAGAGTGAACAAGACCCTGCTAAAGAGAAGAGACTCTTTCTTCCTCTCAGTACTTCTCCCTGGCAATGTTTCTGTGGCTGTTATGGAGGTAATTTTTATAGATGATTCATATGATGACTATAGAATTTCATGACTAGAAGATTGTTATTTTATTCCTCCATAGTGAGCAATGCAGCACGTCTAAGTTCGTAGATTTCTCTTTACATTAGCCTTTCATTTAGAGTTGGGGCTATTGACTACACGAATTATGGCATTCCCAAGAAGGCCAACATAAAGGAAATAAGCTGAATTCTTTAAAGAGTGGATCTGCAGGTTAAGAAAGGGGATTCTCTTTAGAGTTCTCAGAGAAAGCTAACTGCAAGATGGGAGCAAAAACATGAGACTGAGCCATATATTTAGAACTTGGGGAAGAATAACCCAGGTGGACGGAAGAATAAGTGCAAAAACTTATTCAGGACAGACTTGACACATTTGAGGACCCGTGAGGAGTTCTGTGTGCTTGTCTATTTTAAGCAAAGGGAAGGATGGTGTGAAGGCAGGCAGAGATCTCAGAAGCCAGAGTATATAAGGTTTTAAGGTCTATGATTTCAGTCTGTGTACAATGGAAGCTCTGGAATATTTTAAAGCAGGGTGTAAGATATTATGGCATATTTTTAAAAAATCATGCTGAGGTCTGGTAGAGAATAGGTCATAGAAGACAAAAGTAGATGCAGAGGGTCAGTTAGGAGGCTATCGCTGTCATGAAGTGAGATAGAGTAGATATTCAATTATGTAAAAATACTACATAATTCATTTCCCTTTAGTGAGAAGAAAATTATGATTGTTCTGAATTTAGTAGTTGAAAATAAGTCATTACAACCACTAAAGAGGTACAGACTCTTGTTTGCATTTCTGGAAATGGTTTTAGAATTCTGAAGATAAGCCTACAGTGTCATTTTGTGCGAATGTGGAAGCCTCTTCACAGCTTGGTTTATGCAACCTCGTAGCACAACAGATCAGCTGTAGGGCATGTTGAAAAAGTGAAAAACCTAGTCTCTTAAAGAAAAGAACCTTCTGTCAGTAGAGGCCATTTCTTAAAAAAATAAGTAACTCCAAGGTATTGGAGTATCATTGAAGAGGACGTGGGGACCTGGAGAAATGAAAGCAAGTCCGTCAGTGTCATAGTTATTAGGACGAGCTACACCAGGTGCTGGGGGAAATGAGGACGCGGGACACACAGTTCTTCAGGGCAGCTGGATCCATCTTGCGCTAGACTCAAAGAATGGACATGACCCACCCAAGGAGCCTACTCAGCACCAGACAGGGCCTAAGCTAATTTGGAAACTTCTGATACTCTTAGAATAATTGCAGGTCAATTTGGCCAAGTGCAAATTATTGCCAATAGTGAAGTCATTTTGCAGAATTTTTCTCACTTACCCAAATCCTACAGCTAAAGGAAATAAGTGAAATTTAAGTAGTATATTGGACTCCCAGAGTGAAACTCCTAAGGTAGAAAATGAACACCAACTTACAGAACCTTAGCCCTTTCAGAAATCCATGGAATTAATGAAATCCAGCTCTCTCTCCTCAGTTGACCCCTGTTTTCCCTTCTTTATTCCAGGTCCGGGGCTGAGAATCAGATTTTTAAAAGTGTGTCTGAGCCTGCTTTGGATTGCTTTATTCTTGTTGCCCGCAGGCAAAGAAACTATGATCAATGAATAGGAGTTATAGGGAAAAATATTTGAACTCAAAATTGAGAGGAATGTTTTAGTCATCATATCTGCCCAACAATGGAACAGACTGCTTTGTGAGACAATAATAATAATAACACGAGGTTAACATTTATTGAGCATATACTATGTGCCAGACAGTGGGCTAAGTGCTTTACTTGCATTATTTCATCCATAGCATGGCTCATTTTACAGAGGAAGAAACTAAGGCATAGAAGAGTTAAAGTCACATTCCTAAGGTCACACAATTATTCGACATCATTATCCCAGGATGGGGCAGGAGTTGGTAAACAGAAACTGCATATTTGAAAGAATGACTGAAGGAGTGAATTTGATTAAGTTCAAGAAATGTTTTTGAAAAGCTACTATGTGCCAGACATAGTGTTAGGCATTTTGGGGTAAACAAAAACCAATATGATCTAGATTATGGCTGGAAGATCTTTCCAGACTAATAGGAACAATTTAACAGATGCTTTGTAATTTATAAAATTAAACATTTACAAAGTTCCAAAAAACACGGTGGAAGCATTTGGTTGCATTTTCAGGTGGACGTGGATTTACAAAAGTCCTCCTGCATAAAGTGGCATTTCTACTGAACACCAGAGGATCACATGGATACAGCTTGGGGACCCAGGAGCATTTCAAGGTATGGATTTGCACTGTATTCACCAGGGTATGGGAGAATTTATTAGTGCTTTTCCTTGTAGGGAGTGATCTAAAAGTTCCAAAAATTATCTGCTAGCTAGAAATGAAGAGATTGGGTTAA